ACAGCTTTTAGATCAAATGAATCAGAGCATTATTATGAATGGATCCCAAGTTCATTTACTGCTGTTTGTAGATATATTGATCTAGAACTCGGACCCCAGAAGCAGACAACCAACATGTTGGCAGATAATAAGACAGAATCAGCAGTAAGAGAGCATGAGGAGAGGCAATAACTGCAGAAGAAAACATATAGGGGAGAAATGGATTGTTTAGTTGACTTTATGTCTGACCAGGTGACAAAGAGAAGAATGTGCAGACTGTTTTGTCTTCTAGATCCTGCTGATCTGCATCCTTACATGTATTTTTAGTCCGAGGACAATCTTTGGTTAATCTGCATGGGTGTGTTGAGTAATGATTGAATGGCAGGGGTGGGAGGCTGACTCAAGGTGTGCTAACATTCCTGTGGGTGGGGAGTGCAGAGTTCAGGCTGAAACCTGAGCCTTCAGACGGATCTGTGTCTGAATCATCCATTTTAGATCTCCTGTTTTTTTGAACACATAAATGAATAAATAAACTGAAGCACGATTTGTGTTTCCAAACCTTTTTATTGATTTCTTACACTATGATCACTGCAGCCTTCTTTCTGACAAAGACCTTCTTTATTTTTTGCATAACTGCCTCAGTTAGGCTCCATTTCTCCTATGCTTCTATCATTATAGGTCCTCCTACCTCACCTTTCTCATTAGCTGTTTGGTAAAAAGAAGCAGTGGTAAATACAGGGAGCATTGCCCTGATCTATGAGCTGAGCTTGGAGATGATTAGTCCTGTTTACAGAGCAGAGGAAGACGGAAACGACTACGGCTGGGTTCAAGGTCCGATAATATACCTGTCAACACGTCACTGAGTAACTGAATCTCACTCATCTGTATGCAACAGAAAGACAGGTTATTAGACAAGCAGGTAGGATTCATAGAGGAAATCGTGGGTGTTGGCTTTTTCTTTAACTTAGAGGAATCTAAAATCCTTTTTTTCTTAAAAGAAAGTGCATTTGTTTTTGGATTGAGGAGGTAAAAGAGACATTTTTACCATTGGAACAAGACAATTTACTCTTAAAATAAAAAAATCACCATTGCATTGTTTTAATTCAAGTGCATATTATGTAATTATTTTATTTTAAGAGTAAAAATACTAACTCCATTAGCAAACTATCTAATTTACCTACTCAAATTAAGGGTAAATACATTTAATTTAAGAAATATTTACTTATTACTAGATCATTTATCCGTTTAATTGACTAAATCCTGCACAATTTGTGGCACAAAAATATTAACAATCGATTGTAAATCTACTAAAGTTAAATAATGTTAAATCTCATTGTCTAAAAAATTGTATTCTTTTTTTTGTTAGTTGTGATTACAAAAACAAATGTGCACGGATGCTTAACTTGCTCATTTTGGCAAGTAGAGAGGGAATAAATTAACAGGAATATATTTTCATCGTCAACATAAAAAGGGATTTTAACAGAAAATGTAAACTTCTTTCTTAGTTTTTTAACATCTTTGCAGCTGCGTTTTACTGAAAGAAAAGATCCAAACCTCTCAGGCCATCATGGCTTACCCAGCGCTCCCAGGATAAACAATAAAGCAGCAATTAGTTTCTATGCTTTACAAAGCTAGATATGCAGAATCTGTTAGCTCATTTGGGATATTTTAATGTTCTTTTCTGCAACTTTCTCATAACTGATTAAATCTGCAAATTTTTACCATATTGGAAATTTAAGACTGTTAATTCAAAAACAGGTTTCTTGTTAACAATATAACGTTTTTTTATATCTGTTCTTTTATTTTCAAACTGGGCTATTGCTTTGTGTATAAATGGTGCAAAACAAACTTATATTGCCTTCTGCAGAAAGTATTATTAAAATGTTTGAGAGAATCCTACAGAATGATGCTGCCACTACCGTGTATCACTATGTAGACATCAGATTTGGTCTCTTCTACCTGGAGATCCAAAAAACTGTTCTTCACTGTTTTTATTAAATATTTAAAACTTATTTAGGTGTCTGTAAATTCTGGGGGCTCACACTAGAGCAACATGTATTTGGAGCACTGCTGTTTTCATGGAGCACCATCCTTCTGGGCACATTCTAAGCAAGATGCAAATCAATGTCAGGGAAAACAAACCACAGCTTTAGTAATGCAGGAGGCTGAAGAGGAGAGCCAGCAGATCTGGGGAAAGATTCAACCTTTGATTACCAAGATCTTCATTTCTTCGACAGTTGATCCTTAAAGAGGGGTGAAGGAAGCCATCTTTGTATTAAAAAAAAAAAAAAAACGGGCATGGCTGAACAGAGTCTGCGGTCTGAGGTTTCAGCTCCCAAGCATCCACAGCCCTGCCTTAAAACTCAATTCTAAAGAAATTGCATACGCAGTTTCATTTTGATTTACGTGGGCAAACAGAAAACTCCCACTGAATGAAAACAGTGGGTTGGTCGTTGATTTGCATCTGACTAGGAAGGTGTTTAGAAGGATGGGCCTCCATGTGCTTCAACTACAGGTTGTTCTAGTGGGAGCCACCAACTGGATATGTTTGAAGCATTTTTACAAAAACTGAGCAAAAGCCTCTGAGTTAAGCCTGTTTTGTGGTTGCCATGACAGAATGACTGAGACTCTACTCAGGCAAGAGCTCCTTTCACATGTCTGCTCTGCGCCCTGTACTACAAGGCAGGGCTCTTTGTGCTCTCATGACTTCTAGGGCAAAGGAAGTTAAATTAAATCACACAGATGAGAGCTATAGACATGACCTTTAGACAGCTTTGGGCTGCCTTTCATTTCGTTTGGTGGTACCAGAGTAAAAGGGGCTGAATCAAAAACATGCCAAACATTTCATATTTGTATTTGGCAACCATTTTGAAAAAAAAAAACCCAACACATATCTCATTCTGATTATATTTTGCAATTTTAGGTGTACATCACCTAAAATTCTTTTAAAATATATTGTTTGTTGATTCATCTCAAAATATAAAAAAAAGTGGAAAAGCTGTGCTTCCACAATACACTTTACTCTTTTTGCTACTTCTTAGTCTAAAAATGTTCTTACATTTATTTGTTTAAACTAAACTAAACACCATTAGTGACACCTAAAAGATTAAATTAGCTGGAACATAGATGTTTTTTTTTGATCCCTCGTTAAGAAAACAAAGTGCACTGGTTTGCCTGCAGATGGCAGAAGCGAGCTCTGATTGAATCAACCAAACTGTCCCTTCATAGTGAACCAAATGTGGCCTCCTTTGCCATTACTTTAATACAGTCGACCACATATATGAAAAGGACAAAAAAAGGAAATAACTTGTAACTTTCTTGTACTGTTCTGTAGTGTTTGGAGCAAACTGATTCCAAAGGTTTATAAAATAATCTGAATTTGATCTATTGTGTTCAGTTAAGCAAAAATCTGCACCTTTAATCTGCATAAAACAAAGACCGACAGGAGATCAGTGAATGCTTAATTTATTCACAATAATACAAACATCATGGATTTTTTAAAAATCCCAAACAGGCGCAAACCAACAATCACAAGAGAAAATGGGTGTGAGACGAAGAAGTGAAAGTAAATGTTGAACTGTTTGCCATGATTACTCTCCCACCGGGTTAAAAGGTCGTTCTAACTTGGTTTTCATAAAAAATATTTCTATAATCCAAACAAAAAACTGGATTGACTGAATCAGAGCAGCGTTAAAATTCAAAAACTGGGATTTTTATATCTGTTCTTTTGTGATGCAGTTTTTTTTGTCCTTTTCTTCAAGTCTTTTTGTTTGGTCGTCTTTGTCAGAAGTTTTGCACAATTTAGGGATTCCAGCCAGATGCAGAAAACAGCATAAGTTTTTTTTTTTTATTTTACCACTTGAAAAAAAAAAAAAAAAAAAAAGACAAAGAAGAGCAAGCTGTTTACCAAATGTTGAAGGACATAGGTGAAAAAAATTGAAGCAACAAAAAGGGAAAAAAAAATCTGTCAGGGTTAAAGAACTGCATGTTTTCTCATCGATTCAAAATTACATTTAAATATGGGAGACCAGAGCCAGCAGGTATCATTTCCCGAGGGGATAATAACATGGGGATCACTTCTTGAAACAATGACACAAAGAACAAAACAAACATGGATGAACCAAATGCAGAATAAGGGCTCCATGTGGATGGGTATTTGATTCAATTCAAGTACCAAAAAGAGCTGGAAATAAAGACACCTCAACAGAAAACTATTTCAGTCCTATTAAAAAAAGTGTTTCAAGTAGAAGATGTTGCTTCTGCAATATACAGACAGAGTAGGAGGTTTATCATCAACTGAGAGACTTGATGGCAGGAGAGACACTCTGCATCACCCTATATTTTTCTTAAAGGGCACATGACATCAGAGTTGGGAGGCCTGAAAACTCTGAATAAAAATGAATCACGACTAGTCTTTAGATCAAATTGGAAGTAGACAGTGATTCTAAGAGAATCTGAAGAAGCCATCTGAGTCACTGGAGCGTCCTATCATGCATGGATAAAGGCTGCTTTGAAAAATCTGTTGACAATTATGGAAGGGATTATTTCCATGACACAAGCATGCCTTTTTTTATGAGATGGTGGCAAATGGACAGTTAGGGTTAAAGAAGACGACTAGCTATAACTTATGTTGGTGAAACCAGCAGTGAACTGAGGTGTGGAAGAGGAATTTTAGTCTCCATCTCGGGATAATCGGGATACGTTTTAACCACTGGATTATGAAACTAATAAATAATAGAACCTGGGATTTATTGGGAAGAAACAACAAATATCTGAAAGAAGAGAAATCCAGTCAATGTAATATACAGGACATTAGCTTCAGCAGAGTCACCAGCCAGACCACAAACATGACTGTCGGTATTGTTATGGGTTAAACGTGTGAGGTCTGATGTATTATATTGAAATAATATTTCAAAACCTTTAATGTAAAAAGTAGGCTTGAACAACCACTGCATTGTTTGCTAATAAGTTTTCTGCTGATTCAGTTGGATTCCTACCTTGATTTAGACGGTTTTTTCCCCCCTTCCATATTATAGTAAATCTGTAACATACTGTACGCAGACTAAATATCTTATAACTTCTTTCTCTTCACTGGATTAATTAGCACATCCATCCTCCCTTTATAAGCTCATGTTTACACTCTCCAGTCTCTTCTTTGCCTTTGGTCATGATTGTGCTCTGCATTCCTCATATTCTTTCTATTCCAGACATGAAAATGGATAAAACCCTAAAGGGAGCCTGAACAAAGTTGTAAAAGTTAAAACAAATCCAAACAGAAAAAAAATAAAATAAAAGCTTTAACGGATGGAGTAAGGCCTTCTCACTGGAAACTATTTAGTCTCTGTTTTGATGTAATGTGCATTCTTTAAAAAGTGCTTTTTTTTTTTCATTCAACTTTTTTTTTTTGGTTTCCGGTGTCTTCATTTGAAATGCATATGAAAATACAGACAACCAAAAATTCTTCAACATCTAAATTCTTCCTGACATGATAGATGATACAGCAGCCCGCCCTCTGTGTGGCGACTGGAGCCTCATTGCTGCTCAGAGATGATCTTAAAGCTTATGGTCGGTTCCCATAGATGCAGGGCTGTTGTCTCAGTGAAAAACAAAGGAAACTATCTGATATGCTACCAGTTTCTGCACAGCAGCTCTAATAAGAAATATTCAACAGCTACAATAACATGTGAAGGCACACTGAAAAAGTTCAGCTCCGTTTAACGTTGAAATACATGTACAATATTAAGACACGTTTTAATGAGCACTGCTGATTGTGCAAACTGGGATGGGCGGAAAAGGTTCGCTTGACTCTTAGCAGTTCTTTCCTTCCTGATAATATGAAAGGAGATGTGGGAGTCATGATTGGATGATCTCTACCAGGCAAACTGAGCCAAAGTTCCTTCAAATATTCAGGCTGTTAGAAAGCGACTCCAGCTGCTCCTCTCCCAGCCTCTGCTTCTCCTCCAGGTCCTTCAGGCGGATGAGGAGTGAAGCCTTGGTCTGAACATAGCGCCGGTAGTCCTGCAGCTGCTCGGCAGAAAGCTGACGCGACAGGAAGGTGGAGACCAGGTTATCTCGGCGGTCCAGGTTATCCTTCAGATCTTTGGCATCCTCCCTCTGTTTGCACAGCAGACGGTGGCGACTGTCCAGAGATTCCTGCATGGAAACAAATAAGCTGTTAGATTCCATCCAGCTAAAGGTCCTTTTACAGCTTTCAAAAATGTTAAAACAACTAACTTGTTTGATTAGTTATAACCAGGAATTATTTGTTTTTATGGAATTTTAACGTTAAAAAGCTCCAAAGTTTGTTGCAAACATTTATCCCAATATCACAGTTTGCAACATTAAACCGTCAAACAGTTACAGATATTCTTCTATACAAACACACTTGCTTTTCTTTTCCAAAAACACATGTAAAAGTTGAGAAGGAAGTAAATGTGGATTAATTGCATCAATGTTTTCAATGCAGACCTTTGCATATTTGTTAAAAGTATAATATGCATTTGTATTTAAGACCCCTTTACTATGACACCCTTAAAACCTCAACCAGATGCCTTCATCATATCGATAAACAGACCAGGTTTATTCAGTTTAACGCATTCTAAAGTCAGCTGTTGGGTTGCTGCATCATGCTGTAGGGATGGTGTTTTTCAGGAAAACCAGGAAGATTTATTTTAACGCCATGTTGGTTTCAGTTTGAAGATGCACCCCATCCAGTTTAAATAAATTTGGGCTTTTTTGCCAAGAAAAATTGGAAACAGTTTCAGCTTGCAGAGAGATACCATACCTCTAAAGACTGCAGCTGTTAAGCAACACCAGGCGGTTTTGCAAGTTTAAAAGCTTGAAATCAAATCCATGAAACGTTTTAATGGTTTTATTTATAGAAATGAAAAATTTTAGCAATTTTTTGTGCAAAACAATTCTGCACAAGTTAGTTTTAACAGGTTATAATACACAGATAAATAAATAAATACACTGCAAAAATGATCTAGAAATAAGTACAAATGTCTTAAATTAAGTGTATTCACCCTTAATTTTAGCAGTTAAATGGCATGATTTGCCAATGGAATTAGTATTTTACTCTTAAAATAAGATAATTAGATAATATGCACTTGTAATAAGACGATGCAATTGCTTGTTCTTATTTTAAATGTAAATAGTCTTGTTCCATTGGCAAAGTGTCTCACTTAACTCATCAATTCAAGACAAAATGCACTTATTTAAAAAAAAATAATAGCTTATTTAGATTTCAATTTTTGCAGTGTAGGCTCAAATTGAGGTTATAAAAGGAAAATAAACTAAAAATCTTTGCATTTTTTCCTGCTGCAATGATTTCACTTTCAAGATATTTTTTTTTGTTTGATCTAATAGGAAGCTGTGAAAGTTGTAGCATCAGACGTCCGTGGCTGCAGTGTGTCCTTATGTCAACAGAGGGCAGGGTAGAAATGTCATCGAAACCGGGCCAGAGTTTCGGTGAGTCAGTGTAAATAGCGCTGTTGCTGATAACGACAAGACAGCAAATGAGCTTCTAACTGTGTGCAGCACGCTCTGCTGTCATGTTCGGCCGATGAACACATGAACAATGACATCTTTCAGGAATAACTCTGCAAATCAAATAAATATGCAAACGTGAGCTGGGGGTGAAATAAACAGCGAGAGACGTGACATCCAGAGGGACAATAAGCCACATCATGTCAGGTTTATCATAGGAATGATGATTTCTTTAGAGAAAAAAATATATAAAGATAATTAAAAGGCAAAAATTCAAATAATTTAAATACAGATAAATGAAGAAGCATTTTTTTTTTTTTTTTACATTCTACATAGAAACCTTGACTTCATTAAAGCTGCCCTTCAACTTTTCCCTACTGGTCTGTTTGCTGTGGCAAAAGCAAACACAGCCAGATTAAAGCTGAAGGTATCAGAGCTGCTTTGAATGAGCTGCTGTAAATCAAGAAATCTGTATGGTTACATAAAATAACGTGTCTGCAGAAGCACCTGCTGACGGTCTGCTTTTACTCACACGCATCATTGTGTATGTGTAAACAGCATCACCAGGGAAAGGCAGGAGTGTGGAGGGAAACATCACATGCAGAGCTGGTGGTAGGGCTTTGAGGACTTTTGCAGATCGTTATCAAGTCTTTAACTCATTGATAAGATTTCCTTTGATAAAAATCTAAATGACCTTATGTAGAGAGTGAAAAATTAAACTGCTACAGATAGAAGGAGAATCATGGAGTGGTTTCCTACCTTTTCCTCAGCATCTGTGTGTTGGTCCACGACGCTCAGGGCGTTTTGGACCCTGGCCAGACGGGCAGACAGGCACAGCAGCAGGTTGATCACCCTCTCCAGGTCCCCGATGAACAGGTTGTACCTCTCCAGCTCCACTGGCTGACAACGCTCTCGCACCAGCAGCTTCATGGCCTCTCCGAGCGCCGTGTTCTCCTCCACCTCTGCCTGTAGGGCGTCACGCGACTCCTCCAGGGAACGGAGGCGCTCGTTGACATAAGATACCAACAAACGCTGCAATAAAGCAGAGATGCGCCAAAAATATTATTACATGTTAGGTTCTTGCCGTTACAGCCTTGAGAAAGATTAGATTGCAACCCAACTATGGGGGATTGTTGGCCTAGTGGTTAGAGCCATGTGCTTGTGCTCTGAGAAGGTAGCAAGTACCCGATTCAATGCCCAGGGCCTGTACCCTGGGTCCCTGAGCAAGACCCTTAACCCCACAGCGCTCCCGGGTGCCCCACAGAGGCAGCCCACTGCTCCCCAATGGGATGGGTTAAAATGCAGAGGTAAATTTCTCTAAAGTGGGATCAATAAAGTTCAGTTATTATTTAGGAATTATTATCAGAATGCAACAATTCTACGAGGGATTTAAGGTAACAGAGCAGATCAATCTGAACCCACCAACCCCACAAGAGCTGGTGGCAGCATAAGGCTGCTGTTATGAATCGATGGAAAGATGGATGGAGCTAATTACAGAGTGATACTGGAAGAAAATTGAGCCGTTTTGCAAAAAAACAGCATCAAATTTCAGACTCTTGGTGTTCAAACCTGGTAGAACAATCTTAAAATCCATGAGTCTGTATTATCTAAAGACACGCCTAAAAGTCCTCGCCAAAGAGCTTCAACATTTTGATCCATCCACTTCATAATTCTGCACTACTTGACTTTGCTGTATCACAGTGAAATAGATGAAGGTTGGTGTAAAAATGTTGAATATGCAGAAATGGCAAGGCCTGCAAATGATTATGAATAAAGATATGAAGTTACAGGAGAGAGTCTGCAGGGCAGCCAGAAAGAAAAACGAGAGCTAGCTGCAAAGCCAAATATTATACAAGCTAGAGACACTGATAAGAAGCAGAAAGAACACCATGTGATAAGAGACAGCTATCTGTAGTGAAATGGGTCCACTTAGGCTAAATAGCAACCAGATGGTATTTATATTAAATCACCAGTTTTGCCTAAAGGAAAATGTTAAACCAAAGTAGTCTGTAAATGATTATTTACAAAGACAGCTGGTTTATTCGTATTCATATAACGATGAAGCAGTGGAAAACAACAGTTTAAACCTGGGTGTGTATTTTTATGACTAAAACATTTTACCAATTTCAAGGATTGCCTTTATAATGATTAAAATAAAATCTGAATTCTTCTGAGTACATTGGTTATTACCTTCTTCTCAGTGATGTCAGCCTGGCTTTGCTCGTCTGAAAACTGAGATTTCTGGCCGTCGCAGTCAGGCAAACACAGAGATGCTTCGGCTCCTTCACTCGCTTCGTTGCTAGAGACAGAAATATGTTTATGTCAACACATCTTCATTCATCCATGCAGTCTCTCCTGTTATTGAAGTTCAGATGTGATCAGGAATAAATGTCATTTTTGCTGAGTCAGATTTAGTATGTTTGCCTGAAGCAGTCTGAGAAAGGCCAAGAAACAGAAGAGCACTGTCTGCATGTATCTGATTACCCAGGCAGACGTGCAGCAGTAAGTAAATAAGCAGGTGTGTCTGCACATGTGGCGTAACGAAATGCAACGCATCACTGGAAGAGCTCAGTAGTGGAGCCAGTTTAAGGTTTCATGGAAACATTTATACAGCAGTCAGTTTTAACCTGTAACTTTTGTCGACTCCATTATCCTAATAGTTTAAAACATGTTAGTTTAATTATTTTTTATAGCAGAAGAAGTTATTGTCATATGGAAGGATGACAGGATGATCTGTTTAATTCACTAAATTCACCTTTCGGCTGTTCCTTTCTGCTCCTGTTTCTTCTTGTAGTGCTCCTCCATAAGCAGCGTGTCTTCCGACAGAAGCTGCTCCATCAGCATCAGCGCCGTCTTACGATTGGCCAGTGGACAGAGCACCCTTGCCAGTGACTGGTCAGCTTTGACCACTGCCTTTACAAGCTCCTCCCACTTGGGTTTCTTGGCAGACTTGTCCATCTCTCCCTCTGGCGTCTCCTCCTGTTCTCCTGCTTTCTCAGCCTCTGGGGCCACATCTTTCTGCTCATCTGCCTGCTGACTGACTTCTTCCTCAGAGAATGACGTGGAGGGAGACACAGAGGAGTCCTTGGTCTGCTGCGTGGAGATGAGACTGCCAGGCTCGTCTGAAACATTTGTGAGGAACCCCCCTTTAAGCTCTTCTTCTGGTGGGAGAATCCACAGCGACCGATCAGTGGTGATGCCGCAGCTCAGGGAAACTTCGTGGTTCATCTCGCTGCTTGATTCGTTCACTGTTTGCTCTCTCTCTAATCCAGAGGAAGACCCACCTCTAACAGAAATAAAAAGTAGAAAATAATCAGGCAGAAAGATAACACCTAAAGTGAATGAAGTATGACATATAAAGCCATGTTTGGGATACTTAAGTAGTCTCCTCTTACCTGGAGATAGGGACGCTCTCAGGAAGCTTCGTCTGGTTGGATGTGGAAGCGATCTCCCATTCACTGAGCTTTTGTCCTCTGAGGTTGGGAGGATTAGAAAATGTCTCATTAGGTTCTCCACTGGAGACGGGAGAGAAGGGTCGACCTGAGCTTCTGTCTCCTGCTGTATCCTCCTCTGGACAGTGTTTCTGGGTTTGGTGTTGGCTCTGTCCCTGAGAGTTATTCTGACCTACAAACTCTGCTTCCTTTCTCATTTCCTGTCGTCTAGCATCTCTGTCTTCCAAGAAGTGTGAAGCACTCCTCACATTTCTGCTAATGGCCGGAGTCTCGACTGAATTCTTGCACAGTTGGTCCAGGTGGTCAGAGCTTTTGCTCAAGGCCGACACTTTAGCTACTTTTAAAGCTCCAAGCTCCTCCATGGACTTCCCCCTGGGTCCCACCTTACGAGAAGGCTGCTGGCCCTCAACGGACCGCCGCTCCGAAGTCTCCACTGCTTCATTTTTCTGGCAGCTGAAAAAAATAAAAAAATAAAACAGAAGGAATGAAATAAAAAATGAACATTTAAATATGAACGATTTTAAGAAATATTGTCTTGGTGTAAGTCTCTATAAAGTGGTAACCCTTTAGGCGTCAGGATGAAACAAGTTCGTTTATGCCTGGGACACATTATCAACCTAATACCCTCCTAACCTTAAAACAAAACAAACCAAACAGATATTCTCCCTATTTTGCTACAGCAGTCGTACATACCTCTGGGTTTCCACAGTTTTAACTGGCAGTGGATCATCTTTTATGTCATTTCCCTGAAGAGAAAATGGGAAAATTCTTAGACTTAAATATCTTAATAAAAAATCCCATTAAAAGGTGTTTGGGTGAAGTAGAAATAAAGCTACAATTTTCTAAATTAAAAAGTACTGATACTATCAGTGCTGTACCTGAACTGTATGCGGGGTGGATGTGGATCTGTTCCTTAGCAGATTGCTTGGCTCTCGCTGGTCCAACAGACTCTCTGCAGACGCTGATTTTCCCTGAGATGGACCTTGGCTCTCCCTCATTCTAGAGGCGTTTTGGTGGCCAGGATAGTAGCCTGAGCAGGACTGTGCAGAGAAGAACTGGGCGTACCTGTTAGGGAACAGTTAAACAACATCGGTTATACTTCTGAGTTAGTGTCGAAGCATCAGGTTATTTGCATGAATATTTTAGGTACCTCATGGAGCTACTCGGGGAATCAAGGATGCGGCCGGCGGAGTGCGGTCTATGGTGTTTCTTCTTTGCGTGTTTCTCATGATTCAACGATTGTGGGCGAGATCCCCAGTCAAACGGTTTCTCCCCAAGAGAATGTCTCTGTCTGGATGGAGCTGGGAGAGGAGGTGCTGGGAGCTGCGGCTCAGCCACCGTTTGGCCCGTCTTTCTTTCCATGTACTCCATGAGGGCCTGTTGCTGCAGATGCTTTAGGTTTGTCTTTGACGCACTTGAGACAGACGAGGCACGACCTCTTGACTCAAACACCTTCCTCCGAGCTGCAACCAGTCCATGCTCCTCCTGCTGCATCTCCTCCTCTCCCTCAGACCCAGCCGTAAACAATCCCTCGCTTTCATTCCCAAAGGAGCGGCAGGCCGAGTGGCTGGGTGTGGTACCTACTTGGTTGAGTTTCTCTGGCTCAGAGAAGCAAATCTTCTTCTGATCTGGAGTCAGTCTCTTTCTGCCTCCGATGCGTGGCACCTGAGGCTGGGCCACATTTGCCAACCTCCCATATTCCCTCTCAGGTAATTTATCAATTTCCTTTGGATTTTCCCAGACCTCTTTAAGGCTCCCCTCAGATATTAATGATGGGGTGATTGTGTCTGTTGATATCTCAGAGTCCTGTGATGAGGAAAAGGAGTGAAGCGCAGCAGGTCTACAGTCGGGGTTTTGCGTTAAGCTGTGAGGCCAAGGCAGCTGCAGGTCCCTCCTCTTAAATGATGTCTCTCTTAAGACTTTGCTCTGGGCATCCTTAAGCTTTTCTTTGTAGTACTTTTTAAAAGAATCGTCTAGCGTGCCACAAGCTACGGGCTGGACCTTTCCCCTGGGGTTCTGGCAAACATCACCTTGTGCAGGTCTCTCATCGTTTCCTACATCTCCCTGGACAGATTTATTAAGACCCGTTTCCTTCCTTCCATTGAATTCAGGATCCATCTTGGGCTGGAAAACTGCTCGATTGGCACCGGTAAGGTGATACAGCAAGGGAGTAGTCTCTTTGTTTATCCTCTCACTAGCAATGTCCTCCGAAGTCTGCCGCTTCCCTCTGTTTGCTTGATCGTCCCTCTTTTTGTAGTTTGTGGGCTCATTGCTTATCAGCATGACCTCGTTTTGCTGAGCGGCTGAATCCGGTGGACTTTGTCTGTCGGGTCCACAGTAGAATATTGGATTGCTTGCAGTGTGCCGGCCAATATCTCGACTTTCCTCCACGGCATGTGAAATGTTGGGCGGTCTGTGATTCATGTGGGCCAGGTTCTTGGACATTGGGTCCACTCCCTGATCCTCAGAAATAAAAACCTCCTCATCCTCTGGAATGGTACCGCTGGAGGGGTGAGAACTAAAAAAATGATCCATTGTACTGTGAGATCGCTCTTTGTCTCGTCTGTGTGTCTCCAACACAGCAGAGACCTCCTTTACAGCTTCTGTACCACTTATAGTTGCAGAGTGCGTCCTCATCCCAGGTTCAAATGGTTTATACACTCCTGTGACAAAGTAGAACTGTCCCTTTTGTTTAATGCTGCTGCTAAGCAAACTCTGACTGCTGTTCCAGGGGCTAGGGGCTCGCTGCGGTTCTGAACCAGCACACCTTTCTTGAGCCGAGTGCGCTCTTTTGCGCTCACTTCGAAAATGACCACTGGGTTTGTTCTGAGGGTCTCCATTACAGCCACTGTTGGCAGAAAGCTGTTTGGGTGTCGGATGTTCAGGCTGGTTTCTGCCTGGAGGTGGTGATCGGCTCACGGTGTTTGATGACCTGAGCAGCTCAGAGGCAGCATTGTTGTCCACAATGGAAGGGTTTTGTGGGCTCATCCTTGACTGATTGTGAAGCTGGAGGTGCAACCGGTAGCTTGGGGGATGCAGGGCCTGCTGCACCTCCTGCGAGCCTTTCCATACCGAGTACACTGTCTCAGAGTTCACACCTTTATCTGGGATCGCCGTGTCAGACCTTGGAGCGTTTAGACTTTTAGAATGGGGTCGGCCATTGGGTCTGAGCTGCTGCTGAGGTGGTTGAGGCAGGGGATTAAATTCAGTACCCTGAAGGTTAAATCGGCTGTTCTCCAAGTTTTTAGTGGCAATAAAACTATCAATCCGAGCTGGGACTGGGGGAGCAGGAGCATTCTGGGACAGAGTCCTTGAATGTAGATCTTTTTTAAGGTGTGCATTATTGCTGGTGCGCAATCGCTCACTGCCATTGTGGTTGTAGTAGTTCACATCCATGTTGTTGCGATACTGCTGTGAGATAGCTTCAACTGAGAGGTAGAGCTGATCCATGGTCTTTGAGTCTGAATTCAAGAACTGGGCTGGATTGTAAAAGGACTTCACATATTTAAGGTCTGCATATTGACTGATGGAGCTCGACTGCAAGTCATCAGAGAGGAAGGGAGACGGGTAGTCCGGAGCAGTTGACCCACCCGAGAAGGAGCTATATGCAGAGTCTCCTTTGCCGTGTTGGTGGTGGGCTATATGGTCAATACTGCTGTGGGATTTGGCTGGCGAAAGCCGGCTTACTGACAGACTAAGAGGATGCAGGTCCACGTTGCTCATTCTCTCAATGTGCAAGCTGTAAGAATCCATGGACTGGGGCAGATGGCAGAACGGGAAGGACGGGACTTGTAAATGATACGAATGTGAACAGGCACTGTTGCACGAGTCTGTCCTGTGGGGGGAAACTGGGGGAACCAACACCAGCGCAGTTCCGCCCAGGTGTCTCTTGTCCTGGTCTCAAGCTAAGTCATGTTCTTGGGTTAGCTTAAAGCGTCCTGAGACAGTCTGCTCCTGGTGGGGAAAACAAACAGAGCACAGACAGGTTATCAATCTTTACTCATGTCTTGCTTTAGGACATGCTTCTGGTACAGATCCAGACTGAAACTGTTTGCCCAAAGATGGGTTCTCAAATTACTAAAGGACATATTAAACTAACATCTTAAATAAACGAGTTTTTGTTAGATCACCATGGTACAACACACAGACCGATAAGTTATCAAGGTTTACACAGGGTTTTTTTTTTTTTAAATATTGCTATGCCTTAAAGTCCTTTCACTCAGATCAGGGAGGCACTGATCTGGTTCCTGAATCAGATATCAGCTTCAACGTTAAACGATGAATAACTCTGATCCAACCACTTAGTTTTTATTAAGATCATATCCAAAAATAGAGATACAGCAATCCACAGTGTTTAAGGCAGCTAATATATTACATTTTAAAATAACTGCTGTACATGGAAGTTTGATTTATTTCTTATTGATGTGAGATAAATGATTCATTCATTCAGCAGTAGTATCGCATTGGTATTGGGTATCAGACATGCTCAGCCAAGGTATCGTTATTTGATAAAAAACTGGATTGGTGCATCTCTAACTAATATAGCAGAGAGCTGTAGTAATTGTTGATGCACATCAATGAGTTAGGGGAAAACTGTCTAGTTTGGCCAAATATGTTACTTTTAAATCATAAAAATAGGGATGCAGGTTTATTTTTTAGTGATTGAGTCACAAAGCATTAGATTAGAAGTGTTAATTCTAACCCAGCTTATATATATATATATATATATATATATATATATATATATATATATATATATATATATATTTTTTTTTTTTTTTTTTTTTTTTTCTACTTTCCCTTTTTCCCCCCCACTTTTTTGTACATGCCAAATCCAGAGAATTTTTTCTTGTCTTTCCAAAGATATGTTTTGCATATTGAGTGTTGATTTGAGGATCAGGAGTGTAAACCACCTGCTGAAGGAAGCATGTGCCGTTTTGCAACAGTGATGCCGCTCATTAAAGGCTCTGAGGTTGGTGGTGCAAACCGCATACACATGAAAAAAATGTTAGGAATCTCATCAAATATTTGGGGATTAGCCATGTGGCATGTAAAACCCATTCTCAAGAAGTGATGCTTTTTTAAATCTTTTATGTTAAATAAATACTATAAATGAGTAAAAAAAAAATACAAAAAAGGTGATGAATATTATACTAGTGAACCATTACAGAAACAGACTTTGCTTGCTTTAGAAATTATCCTTAAACATTTGCCATGTCAAAACACTTTAACTTAAAAGTTTAAAAATAGACAAGGATATTATTTTAATATGGATGGGTGCAAACATAATTCATACACATACGTACATCTACCTTAAACTATTTAAATAGGGGTTAAAATAAATCTTTAGTTATAAAAAACTATGTTTGGTTGTTGACTAATGTGACATACATCAAGGAGGGAAAGTTATTACTGTAACGCTTAACCACATTCATTAAATCCGGAAGAAGTCATCTACAAGTTAAAAAATAAACATGTGTCCTACTTTTATTGTGAACAAAATGTTAGAAAGAACAAATCTACAAACATAAGTTTTATCTAATAGGTTCCCAGTGCTTTAATCAGTTTTGTAGCACATGGATATCTAGACATGGACAGCCCAGTTGGTACTAAGATGACAGGTTTGAGATTTTCCCATGACCCACATGCCTTTTCATGACTTTGCCGTTTCAATGTTTGAAGCTTGATGCTTGTCAAGCATGTGCAAAAGTAAATGTTGTTGGTAAAACAAAGACACACCAACCACTTATCAAACAGTGAGCAAGCAGAATCAATATTATATTAATGATGGAAACAAGACATCTTGTTCACATCCTGAATTAGCTTGACTAGTTTGCTTCTTTCTGGTTCATGATAGTTAAATAATTCCCCAGTTATGGCTTAAATAGACTGCTGACAGAAAACTCTTTAAATCTATAAGTATTTGCTCCATGGTCTGAAAAGTCTATGGGGGAGCCTGAAAGCCTGCATCAAACATGATGCAACATGGTCAATCTGCTTACACACAAAACCTCCTCTCCAGAGAGAGTTCCAAAAAAGGTGTTGAAGGGAATTGAATGTATCGACAAGGAGGTTTCTGATCTGCCGTCCTCTGAGAACAGAGAGAGGCTACTAAAAAGAGGAGCGCTCAAGTGGAAGTGATGGAGGGGACAGGCAGTGACAAAATGTACAGAGGGGTGCAAAGTGGGGGAGGGAGGGGGAGGCAAAAGGGTGACTGGCCCAGACAAATACTCTCACACGCAAACCACAACAAGAAGAGACAGGAGAAGCAAACGGTGACAGCCGGGAAGCAGAGAGAAGTAGGGGAACTGGAGGGGTGGCCAGGAAGAGCCAGAACCGCTTCTACATCAACAGAGCAAGGTGGACTGAAAAAGTTTGTGAACAACAAGCTTTAGTCAAAGATGGAAACAAGAAAGAAAAACTCACCAAAACTTTGAGTCTAAGTTGCTGACTTTCCTGCTTCCCATCTGAGAAGGAAAGGTCTCTTTTGCTATATTCCTAAATCCAGATAAAACTGATGATTTCCATCTGCTTCTGAAGCATGAGCGAAGCAAGTTACCAGGAGAAGCAAGTGTGAGAGGGAAGACTTCTAAGTGGGTCCCTTCTCCCCCCACAGAGACCTTGGGCTGCCTAGTGGGAGCCACTGATTGGCCGGCCGATGACGTCTGGCTCTCTGATGCACAATGAGCAGAGAAGAGGGAATATTTCACTGCTGCACATAGCTGCTAGTGCTGCAGGCTGCCCAAACAACAGAGAGAGAGAGAGAGAGAAAGGGGTGCAAAAAAAAAAAAAAGAGGCCTCGCATTCCTGGCTGGCTTCAAAGACGGAGCAGAGTCGGGGCACCATTCATTCCCAAGGCCCTGAGCCTGGCGCATGGAGACTAGCCAAGGCAAGAGGGAGGACAGAGAGAGGGAGGAGGGGGATAATGGCGATGGGGAGAGTGGGTGTATGGGTGACCTCCCGAACTCCGCCCCACAGAGGGGAAAAAAAGGCTCCTCACAGCCATCCGCATTAGTTTATCTCTTATAGGTAAAGTCCTAAAAGTTCTAAATACTGTTTAGTCAGCCCTTAAGTGTATTTATCCTAATAAGATCTACTATACATCTGTGAATATGAGGTATATAAAACAGACCTGGTTTTATGTTGTTTGCTTCTGCTTGTTTAATTCTATGCTGGCTCAAATTAAACCAAAGGCATAAAAGAAACACTTTAGAAAAATCAGAATTTCCATGAAGGATCCTAACATTTATACAGTATAAAGCCGTACTTTCCCAGATCTGAACCTCCAAAAACCCTTTGTCTAATGGATGTGCAAATAATTGTAGCAGCAGTTTGCTTTAAATACAACATATATGTATCCGTTTAGATACATGGATCTTTGGATCGAGCGGGAAAAAAAAGTCTGAAAATACAAAGATTTTTTATCCTACAGTTTATTTAACAGACTTTTAAATCTGGAAAAATAACGATCTAGATCAGGGGTGACCTGTCTGAGTATTTAGAGCTCAAAATTAGGATGTTTAAATGCAACACAGAAGCTCAACAACTGTTTTCTTTCAATTCAATTCCGTTTATTTGTATAGCGCCAATTCACAACACATGTCATCTCAAGGCACTTTACAGTTCCCCAGATCATCCAGTCAGATTGATTCAGTTTTCTATCTAAGGAAAACCAGTTGATAGAATCGACTCATTGACTCGAATGCAATCCCTCACACTAAGCATGCTAGTAGTGACAGTGGAGAGGAAAATCTCCCTTTTAACAGAAAGAAACCTCCAGCAGAACCAGGCTCAGTGTGAGCGGCCATCTGCTTCTTTAAAGAGAATCAAAGGGGGGTTCAAAACAAGTTCAAGCATAAATCAACTTCATTTAACCATTAGGGGTGTAAATACATGATTGTATTGACTTGTCTTGATGACGATATGTTTACTAGAGCGGGAGTGATTCATTGATCAAATTTTTCTGTTTTTGAAGTTTGAATTTTTCAGCCAATTATGATTTATTTTTCCACCAATGCTCTTCTTTAGCATCCATAGCTCAGAGTAACATCAGCTTCTTGCTTTTTGTTCTTAGATATTAATAACTGATAAACCATCTGATTGTGTGAAACCACCAGCTGTTATATTTTCATTGTTTGTTATGAAACATGAATGTATTAAAAGCCTGTTTTACAGCTGGGATTTAGTTTTCCTATAAATTTAGGTCCCCACCCACAGAGAAAGATTTATTTGATTCATTAAAATGAGTCATTTGTTAATTGTTCTTACTATAAGAGAAAAAAAAAGCTATTAATTGTATTTGGTCAAATGGGAGATTCAAATTTCAAGCCAAACTGCCCAGCCATAACGTTTTTACCCATATCACAAAATCTGTCATGTTACAATCTTATTTAATTTCATCTACAAATGAGATCCACATCCAACACAGTAATTTCTATCTATATCACAGTTCAGCTATTTGGATAAAAAAAACAGCTTTCAACTTGATAAAAACTAATAAGAGATCACCTGCTCACATTCTGACACAGTACAGCATAGATAGTACATTCAAAAGACCTGATGTGAATTGATAATTAATTTTATACCAATGTAACTTAACAAATATATACAAAAATAGATCTATCTATTATTAAACCACTAATAAGCATCTAGACTTTGTTCACCAGACAAAGTCCCATTCTGATAACAACTCCTATTACTGCTCTATTACATACTAAGCCATTTTAATGACCCAAAGCCTCATTAAACCATAAAGTATGAAGATAACATCTACACTTAATTTCAGAAAGCCTTTAAATAGTTTTGTAGAAAACCTCTATTCCCAGCCTCCTTCAGAGCTCAGATCCATCTGAAAGAAATACAAGCTAGTTTTTAAAATGACATGTCTTACTGATACACAAAGCTGACACATCCCATAAACTACAGCCTTCAAACTAGACACTGATCAGTCTGTTATGTAGATGAAACCCACTCTCTAAAAACAATGGCAGCTTTCTGACCTCCTGTGTTCGCTCAGTGTTCAACAAAAGATCCTTGTTGCCTTCTCTATTGTTTGCTGGTGAAGCTGGCAGCACTGCTTTTCTTACTGCTAGGATGGCATCAACAACTAACTGCACTCAGTTCCTACTGGAGGCTGTGGGTTACTCCAGCATAATGCTTATTTATGAAGGCTGGATGTATTTGAAATGGTGAAAAGAAAAGAAGAAACTGCAGCAGTAAAACAGGGCTGTGTGATACGTCAGAGCTACACAGAGGACAAAGAAAACAAATGTCCACTCAGAGACAATTGATTCAGCTCATGAGGAGAGAATAAATGTTTTAAACTTGGTTCATAAATCATTTTGTCAGAGATTTTAAGCAAATCCTAAAAAATAGGAATCACCATTGGTTGTTTTACAATTAAAGTAAATGAAAACTCTTTTGAAGAACCTTTAAATATGATGACTAACAATGATGGAAGACAGAGGCCAATTTCTTATAGCCACTACTTAGAAAGACGTGTAGCGAAGTTTGATAAGTAAGGCAGGGTAGGCATATTACACCCCAACTTAACAGAGAAGATGGGGCAGAAGTCAAATGATACTAAGAGGTTAGAACAATGCAGCAAAGACTTTTCTAAAGGGGTCAATAAGTAGCCTCGTGAGACCATCCTGATCTCGCAAGCTTTCAAGGTTTCACTCGCAGATCAGTCTGGAGACTCTCCATTAAAGAAAATTTGGAGCCGTTCACCAAACGAACGTCCAATCAGCGTTGGCTTTGAGGCGGGTTGAGGTGTGACGCAACGAGAAGCACAACAGTTCAGTCTAAAGAACATGGCGGCTTCAGCCGATGAAACTTGCGTTGGCGTGGCTATCGAGCAAGTTTTATCGGAATTACAGAGTATTTCTTCACCGAAAGAAGAGCAAAACACTGCTCTGGAGGCTTTTCTCAGAGGAAAAGATGTTTTTACTCTTCTCCCGACTGGTTTCGGCAAGAGTAGCCTGGCTTGTGGTTGTGTTTTCGTCGTCGCTCTGTTAGTACGTCATATGCTTCGTTGATCTGATTGGTTTATTTGGCCCGTCTATCACCAACATAGGCCAATCAGCTAACCAGTATTTTTCGCCCCTTCCCAAAATTACTTCAATGGAAGGTTTCCAGATGGATATGCGGAGCAAATCGATCTGGCGGAGTCAGGTTAGTCAATAAGCTGCTGTACTTCAGAATTATCATTTTAAACCACAAACAGGAAGCAGTGAGATACCAGGTTCCACCTATACTAGATATAAGGCACTGTTTTTCTTCACTACAAAACACCTTGTCAGCCTTCATTTATTTCTTTAAAAAAAAAGGTTAAAAAAATTTATTCCATAAATTAAAATTCATTTAGCTGAATAAAGTAAAAAAATACTTGCTTTTCAAAAAACTCCCCCAAATGAGAAATATAGGGATGTTTTAATATCATAAAATACAAATAATAGTATTAAATGTCTGAATGAAGATGCTTATTTAATCAAAAGCACATTCACCAAAATTAACAAATGGAAATCAATAGGGATGCACGATATTGGGATTTTGGCCGATATCCGATATGCCGATATTTTATAACTCATGTAGCCGATAACCGATACCGATGTTAAAGCTGGACAAAAATACGTAGTCATTAAAAATAGCAGTTTTGTTATCCATTTCTGACACTTTGAAAAATAATATACTCAAATATATTTTCATATGCTGATATCAAATTGATTTTTAAAAACGCGGTATCGATCTATTTTACTTTCAAAATCTTGTAAAATTTAATCGTTCTGTTACAAACTCTCGTGATATTTTGCAAATTCTTGTGAGATTTTGTTAGTAAAATAGATCGATACCGCGTCAATATATCAACATATAAAAATATGGCAAAATTTTGTGAATTTTCAGGGCATTTCGTAGCATAACAATGATATATAGCAATATGTCATTAGTAAAAGAGATTGATATGGTGTTTTTAAACGGCAATATTTCAGGATATGAAGATATTGGGATATTTGAATGTATCAATATTTTTTCCCTCGTCTTTAGAAGTTTTTAAGTCTGTAAAAAAAGATGTTTTTGAGGAAGAAGAAGAAGTAGTATTTTTTTTTTTTTTTTTTTTTTAGACTTTAGAAACTCAGAAGCTGATCAAATATCGGGTTAAATATCGGTGGGGTGGCCGATGTCCGATATTCAGTTTTAAGGCCGATACCGATAGGGGGCCGATTATATAGTGCATCCCTAGAAATCAATAAAAAGAGCTGGTTGGTCTAGAGCAGTGGTCTCCAACCCTGGTCCTCAAGATCTACTGTCCTACAGATTTTAGATGCATCCCTGCTTCAACACAGCTGAATCAAATGAATGGCTTGAAAAGGTAATCAAACATTTGATTGAGCTGTGTTGAAGCAGGGATGCATCTAAAATCTGTAGGATAGTAGATCTTGAGGACCAGGGTTGGAGACCACTAGTCTAGAGAGATTAACATAATAGCTGAAATGATTCGTTTCAGTATCCGCCTTCGTCTAAGCAGCAAATCTCTAGTTATCACAGGGCAGAAAAAAAAGTAAAGGTTTCTTGCACATAAGTCATATTCTAATAAAAACATAAAGCAAAATATAAGTTAAGCAGGACAGAGGTGTGCCTGAGGAGGGTAGAATCCTTAAAAATGTACTTGGGTAAGAGTGGCACTACTATGGCATATTTCCACTCAAGTAAAAGCTAAAAATGTACTCAAGTAAATGTAACTAGGAAAGGCCTAACTCTGGTGACTGGAGACCT